GTTGACAGTCGAATTCCATCGAGAGCGATATCGATCGCGAAAAAGCATTTCCCACGCGCCAATTCAGGCAGATCGTATCGATAGAGGGGAGAATTGGATTGCGCAATCGTAGTAGGAATGCGGCTTAATTAAGCGGAGAATGCGTGCGCGCGCATGTCGCGTGCCATGCGCAGTCGGTTTCTTTATAACGTTTATAAAGTGGTAGTTTTAGATTTTGAGTGTGACGAGAGATCGAGTGAAGAGTTAAGAAAATATAAATCGTAATGCTGAATCGTAATGTGATTAAAAGAATCGAAACAGCTTTAAACAATTTCTATAAGTAAGTTTTTAATACTTTTCAAAGATCGAGTAAAGAAGATTATCAAATAATTATGTAAATTTTATAGAAATCGAATCGATTAAATTCAACAAGATAAAAGTTTGACACGAATTAAATGATTCAAATAATTTAGTTTCTCTTTTTTCAATTGTTCAATTTATAGTTTTAAATTGCTTTCGTAATGAGGAAAACTCGTATGGCAGGCTATTCCTTAGGCTCGTTTAATTTCTAATGGATGCAAGGTGTAAATATTCTATCGATTGCTTTTATTCGCGTGTTGCACCGTCTAATTGCTTACACGTTGGATCGTACATCGATGCGCGTAGGCGAGACACGAGAATCTGGGAGTAGCATTGCAACTCTGCACTTTCACAGATTCTAACAAAACGAGTATTCCGGTTGGAATGAAAGTTTTAATCGTTCTTGAAAACGTTTTTTTCTTCAGATTTTATGTATCTCATTACATAATATCTTATTATATAAGAAAAATAATATAGTAATTGAATATTGTTGATTATTTCAAATCTTATATTTTACGAATTGTTAAATATATTGAATAATTATTATATTAGAAATATTGTTATATTTAATAAACTAATAATATCATTGTATCACACTTTTTGCAAGAATTGACTGTTTTTTTCTTATATAAAATCAGATAAAGCAGGTTTTATTAAGCCATTACAACGGATTCGTGGTACATATTACAGAAAAATTCTTAAGACGAATAAGGAAATAAAATAACGTAGTTACGTGAATATTTGTCTGTGACCTCGTTTCCAAGTTATAAATGTTATTGCGTTTCGATAATTCTGTAATAAGAAATAATCACCTTGGATATTATCTCCCAAATTTTTCACGTAATTTTATGTTTCTTAATTTAATATATGGAAAGATGATAAGATTACATGCTTATGAAACATTTTATGCTTCGTTTAAATAAAAATTCAATCATTCTCAGAAAAACCATTATCATAATACAAACTAGCCATAAAAAAAATTGCTATACATTTTATCTCTCGTGTACAATTTTCATTTTGTTTCTAATTCATAAATCTAAGTTCAAGATATATCACTTCATTTACATATATATATACACATATTTCAAAAACCATCTTTGCATTTTTATTGCACAAAATGATCTGCTTATTTTTTTTATTAATATCTGTATTTTTTATTACCCGATATAGAAAATTATATAATATAATTTACACTACGCAATATAGAATTTGTAGATTTTATAGAAGCGAAATCATTTATCTCTAATAATTCAAAATGAAACTCCAGTTTTCAATGTATATGAACAATTTAAGATAACAATTTAAGATAACCATAAAACAAAACACGAACACTTTTTCCTGTCTCCATTATTCCATGTGAAACAATATCTTCTTAGATAATTGAGTCAAAATTTGCATAATCCAAAGATTACTGCACAATGTGCTAATACATTCGTAATATATCTTTGCTCGACGTTGATTTTAAAAATCAAAACAAAAGTTGGTATACGAAAATGTAAACCTTCTATCTGGCAAACTTAAATTACTTATAAACTTACTTTACCGATATATCAATTTTTGTTTTAATCCTATACATCGCATAATTCAAAAAAACTATTTTTTTTTAAATGGATCCTCTCTAACTTTCTCAATTTATAATTCAACGAAATTCCAATTCGCGGTGAACGGATTAAACCGTGGGACAAAATTATGACGCGACGCCATTCACGGAGTTACACGTCTGCTCAATTTCGGGCGTATCCGCGAGCGGCGTTGATTACCCCTCTAATCACAGGTGATTAACGTTCCCTCTCGCGAGGGCTTGGCTCTACAATTACCCTTCCTCTCCTCGTGTAACTTATTTAGAGGAATTTCATTAGCCGTTCAAGCTTCCGGCTTCGTTTTAATTAATCGTCCCCGATTGTCAGGGCCCTTTTCATCGCCCCCTCGTACGCAGAGACGATCGAATTAACGTGGGAAACGAGGGGGACCTCCCCCAGGAATCACTGTTTCGCGTGTTTACGAGCATCGTAAACCACTTTGGGCCCCCTCTACGCGCACGAAGAAGGCAATTGGAACGCGTTTGTGGGTGGTTTTATGTTTTGACAAATTATAGGGTGAATGTATATCGCAGTGGTAATTTATTATAACAGACGCGTGGGTTCTGCAGTTTGTTTTAACGTATCGAAAGTTGTAATTATTTCTTTTTCATTACCGTTTCCTTTTAAGTAAAGTTTAAGTGCAATATCGTGTAATAAATGAAAATGTATCTCGGTTTTTTATATTTTAATGAACGAAATTCATAACTTTGCCGTGTTATTTTCTTCAAGAAGAGAATTAAAATAATGAAAATGAAAATTAAAATAATCTTCTTTTATCAT